GTTGTTGAGATATTTTAATTTAAAATTTTAAAAAAACTCACTAAAAACAAATTGCTTGGTTTCTACTGGCACCCCCCATATACAAAACCTGGGTCCGGTACATTCCACCAATTTTTAAAACCTTTAATAGACCCAGGTCTTGTATATATATTAACTATGCAGTTATTGCATATTAGGAGATTAAGTCTCTGTGAAGTTCTTACCGCGTTTATTAACTGTTTCATTATATCTTTCCTATTTGAAGATCTATATGGACTTTTTACATATGTTTTGTAAAGCGTCTCATAAGTTTCTGTTAATAAACTATTCAAGGCTCCATATTTGTGAATTATCAGGAGCACGTAGTAACGCCAACTATGTAATTTAGGAAATCGGTATTCTGTAGAAGATAATGTTGAAAATATTTTTTTAAATTCATTGCACCAATCGATTATTATGATCTATAATTAAAAAAAAAAATTTTATTTAGGCAGTTTAAATTGACAAATTACATATTATAGATGCCTACCTCAAAATTTTTTAGATCTATTTCAGTAAATGATTCTTGCTGACTCATGATGTACATTTTGTTAAATTTAGTATATAACTCGCAAAGATCATTACAGGTTATTTGATTCCACTGGCCGAAGATACCATCAAGAGCAAAAATTACAATTTTCATTAGATGCCTATAATCTGTAGCGGTTATCATTTTTAATTGATCAGTTTATTAAATAATTTTAGCCCAGAAAATCGAGGAATTTGATGGAGACGAGTATCAAAGTTTCTTTGTAATTCTGTTCCGCCAACTTCCTTCAAAATATCTTGAGTAAAATCAAATTGGTGCTTGAATAAACCAAGGTCGATATGATGCATATGGTCAGGAACGCATGCTTCATATATATTTAAATTTCTTTAGAGGTATGTTTAATAAATTTTTTTAAAATCGCGAAAAAAAAATTATAGAAAAAAATTTTATAGAAACTTAAATATCTTAACATGCAGTAACCGCGTAGTAACTATACATGGGTATCTAAATTACTCCTCTTAATAAAAATTATTTTGACATTTAGTCTGTCAAATTAATTTTTCTTAGTGGCAAAATTGATTTTTCTTAGTGGTGAGATTAATTTTCATAGTTGTTGAATTCTTTATATGTACCAAAATACATTATATAGTCACAGAATTCAATGTATAGTAGTAACTATATAATCATTTTGCAATTACTGGAATTACTGTATGTTAAGAGATTTAGGTGTCTATATAGAAATTAACATATAGAAATTTCCAGAAGGCATTTTCGACATTATGCACAGAAAATTCCTTTCCTTGTTTTTCATTAAGAATTTTTTGTATATTTTCTGGAGTTCTAAGAGCTATATTTTCAGGAGTAAGATTTATATTATTTAAATCATTTTGCAAAACCATACAACTATGACATGGCATTTTACTGCTAGCTGGTTTATATGTTGCAGTTATTTCATCAGCTTCAAGCATGTCTGCGATGAAAACCGAAATTTGTGCTGCAAAAATTACTGGCCGTCCTTGAACCCCAAAATATAACCCATCTGGTCTTTTTAGCAAAGGACCAAGCATAGTTGTCATGCATTTTTGATAGACCTCATGCTGTAAGTTTCAAAAGGCCTCAGTGGTTTTTACCATAGTATCTTGAACTTTTGGTAAAAATCCTAAAAGAAATTTTGAATCTGCAGAATTTCGAAGCCAATTGGGCAAATTTCCAAGGGTTAAAAAAACTGGATGTCCTGAAGTCTTACCAAGGCCATCAAAGGTTGATGCGTCAGAATATAAAATAATTGACAACAAGTGATTCATTGGAGGAATTGTTTTTTCTGTTTCATGCCACCATTCACATTCATACTGTTCTCCAAATACTCTTACTTCAACGCTATTATCCTAAAAGATTAAATTTAAATTAAATTTGTTAGACAAATCAGGTTGGTAATAATAATATTATAGATTATTAAATTGTTAATAGAGTAGTATAGTCCTAAGTTACTCTATATTAAACCTAACCCAAGTTATACATGAGTTCTAAATTACTCCTTTAATAAAAAAAATATTTCGACATTCAGACTATCAATTAATTTTTCTTAGTGCCAAAATAAATTGTGTACTTATTTAAAATATTTATGCCAAAATACATTAGGTAGTATGGTTACCTTGTGGAATTCATATAAAAAAACTAGCAGTATCGAAACGTTCATCAAATTTATTTTTTTTTAAAAATAATTTATAAACTCTATGCATAACCCGAGTTGGAGTGGGTTTAAAATCTTTCTTCAAATCTGGAATAAAGCAAATTTGATAGTAAAAACTAAGTTTTCTCTTGTATGTATATAGCCCAGGATACAATTGATTAATTTTCATTATTTTAATATACTGATTAGGGATTCTAGCATAATTACTAGATTTTTCTGTATATAGAACCTGAATAATACTATTCAAGGTTATACGAGTAGCTCTAGATATAAGAAACTCTTGATATAAAAAGATTTTTTTTGTAAATCCCAATTGAGAATTTTATAATAAATATTTTGCCTGGGGCGCAGCAACTTTCTTATATCAATTAACCAAAATTATTTAATTTGATTAGTTAAAAAATTGATTTGGTCAAACAAATTTTGTAACATTTTGCTATTTTTCAAATGCATATTTAATCTAATAATTCATGAGATAAAAAATTTAAAACTAATATCAAAAAAAAAACTAAAAATACCTTTTTTTTTTTATAACTCCTTTTTTAACAAAGTTTTCTGATATTTTTGGTCGTTCTAGCAGTGTTTGAATAGCACGAAAAATTGGATGATAGTAAAGTATAAAATCGATTCCAAAGGGGTTTGTAATGACTTTTTCTCTAAAATCTATTGAAGGTGACTTTATTTGATTAAGATAATCTTTGCCACTCTTTGTGGATTTTGGTAATAGGGATTCTTTCAAATTACTATGTTTATTAAAGAGCTTGATTATCTTATCACCAATTTTATTAGAAATATTTTCTTCTATAATTAATTCCATGAAATCACAATAAGCCTCATTAGGCCACTTTGCCAGATTTTGAGATTTATTTTTTCCTCAATACTATCTAAGGCATCATCAATAGTTGCTCCCTGGATATCTTCAAGGTCAGAGCTAATATTTTCAGTATTTAAATAAGCTTCATTCGAATTATCTATAAAAATATTAGCGAAATTAGTTTGAAGTTCTTTAATTTTAGAGTTATAGTCAAACCTCGATATAATCACTGGCTTGAAAAAAAAACAAGAATCTGGCGATTATAAAAGTTGTGACTATATAAAGTCGAATTTTATATGTTTTATTATAGTTTGAGTTAAAAATAATGTGATTATATCAAGAACGTGACTATATTAGAGTGCCTATAATGAGGTCTGGCTGCATTATTTTTTGAATATCCTATTTTTGAAAAATGTTACAAATTATAATGTGACTTACCATTTAGAATTAATTGTGTTGTGTCTTCAATTATAGATGGTGAATCAGAATCTTTTAAAGATTCTTCAATTAACATATCACTAAAATTTTCTTCCTTATAATGTGCCCGCTCTTCAACTGACATATCACTAAAAATTTCTTCCTCATAATGTGCCTGCTCTTCAACTAACATATCACTAAAATTTTCTTTATTATTTACCCGCTCTTCAACATCTTCCTGTAATTAAGAAGATATTTTTTTTATTGAACATATAAGGTTTGCCAAAGGAAAACCTGTCATCAAGCTTTCAAAGATATTTTGTATGAAACACTATCACTTTAATTTATTAGTGGTACAAAATATATTTGAAAGCCCAATGACAGGTTTTCTTCTGGTGGTCTCATCTAATTATTTTATACCATCATACCACTTCATTAACGCTCGACATATTAATTTCTATTAAAGACAATGATCTTGGCATTCTTACAACAGGTGTATTCCACAGATTCCTATCATATTCAGGCTCATCCGATTCTGATTCAAGAACATCTGAACTTTGACATCTTTTCATAATAGAACTAGTTCTTTGAAGAGAATTTTCTTCATAATGCACTGTATTCATATGTTGTATCAACCCATGTGTACTATTAAATATTCTTGTACAAATTCTACAACTATATACCATTTTCCTGACAGTGATTTTTTTAAAAAAATATGTTATAGATACTTAATAAAATGAGTGCGCAAAGCAAAAACTGGGAGCAAATATTTAAGGTTTTATCCTGGCGAGTTTAATTTATCTATATAATTAGTGTTCTAGTTACTTCTACTATATTTATCACTTTGGCTTCATAGATTTACTGATTTTT